CTTTTATAATTTCTGTTTGAAGTTCTTGTAACCATTTGTTACAGGTATAAAAGGTATTACCTTGTTGTGCTTCCCTTAATAACGTATAGGTTTTGGAAATAAACCCCCTGGGCTACTGACCTTTTTGTATTCTTGGAAAATAAAATTCCTCTGTTGCAGACAGAGAACTGTGCAACCAAGCAGCCACTTTTTGAATTGCTAACAATTGAGCTATGGAATAATAGAGAAGAGTGAGTCTTGGTTCACTACTCCCTTTTTTGATTGTAGATTTTTGTGCTTAACTCTGTGGCAATGGCTATTCAAAAAGATTGGGCCACAAATGCTAGAGCAAGTAGATCAAACTCTGATGAAAAATGAGAAGTTTTTAAATGTAAAAAATAAGACATCATGAGAAAAAAAATAAAGAAATGAGTACCTCAGAATAAACTCCTAAATTCATAGCCTGACTTAAAATTGACTTCTTTTCATTTTACTAACTTTATAGGACCTCAGCAACTCTGAAAATGAGAGCATTCATTTAAACTCCTATATTTAGGCCTAGGAGCCTATGTTTAAGCATCCATGCTTGAAAATCTTGGCCAGAATTTCTTTTCATTCACTTTTGAGGAAAGCAATTCAGGAAAATGAATGTGTGCTCTTTATGTATAGTTCACTTTGTCAGATAGTCTTCTGATCATAAGATAAGCAGAAATAATTTTATATATGAAGATTTGCAGTTTTCTAAATACAGTGGTTAAAACCTAGGAGTTTCCACTTAATGGGGAATACCCATATTTTGAAATTACATTCTTCAGCATTAAGACATTAGCATGTCAGCATTTTCCATGTAGCAGAAACTGTGAAAAGTTGCAGTTGGTAAAAATTCCAGATGTTCGAAATCTTTGAGACAAATGAGATTAAGTATTTTTGGACCTTGGGATAAATTCTCAGGCTGTTTCAATAGCTGCTTCTATAGTTAGGAATCTGGAAGACCTGGGGTTCAGAGTTCAAGGGCTGTCTGTTCTGAAACCTGGGACACTAGAAACCTTGACTTCTAAAAATACGAATTTATGAGAATACCAGAAATTTTCCAAAACCTGTGAATTTTGTAAGAGTAGTTTATAAAAATTGTTGTATATTGACCTATATTATTGCATAGTCGCATATACTGTCAACATTTACTATATAGGGCTTTCTAGTAATACAAGATTTAACCAACCTGTAATGTGTGTGGGTTTTTTGCTCTCTTGACATGCCCGTAGAAAATGAGTTATATGGGATAAGATACACATTCTGAAGAAGCACAGCACACAGCTATGCTTTGAGTTGGTTAGAGAAGTTGAAATCAAAGGAAGTCCACCTCATATATGGAGTGAGAGAAGAGGAGGTTTGTGTTGGTCACTGCTTTCTCTGAGACTTGATTCCAAGTTCCCTTTAACCCAAGAAAGATGTTTTGCACTAAAGTCCTGAGGCTCAGGGAGTTGAAAAGAACCTGTTGGGTCATGTCATTAACTCCCCTGCTATTGCAGGAAACCACAGCATTGAAATCCTTTTCAGAACTTGATCTACACTCACAACAGAAAGAAGCTAGGTTTTTCTTTAACCAGAACATCATATTTTTCCAGTTTCATGCCACTCAACTTCCACTTGCCAACTTCATTGTCTTCAGGTGCTCATTAAACTTCTTCAAAGGCCTTGTCACCCTTCCTTGTTACTCTAGTGAAGGTCTCTCAAGCCTCCCTTTGCAAGACTCAGGTATCTCCCCCTGCCTTTCCCAAACTTCTCAAACTGTAGCTGCTGAATGCCTGTGATGGATCCACATGACTGTCCCTTAACTTAACATACAGTTCAATTTCAGTTTTATAAATTATATATAGCAAAGTGTCTCTGTCCTGGAAGAAGACCAGTCTGAAGAATGGAATAACTTTCACTGACACCAAATGGTACAGCAAAACATCTAAGTGTAATGAAATGTAGCTTTCAGTGGAATCCTTCACAATTTCCTGATTGTCACCCCATAATCTTATAGGCAGTGAGTCAATCCTGCTGGCAAATTGTGATGACATCTCTTTCTCATATCTCTTGAGAGAGATTTCTCATCTTACAGAATCTCTTCTTAGTCTTTTACAGTGGATGTTGGTTGATCTTTCAGCTTCTGAACTTGTTTCATAAACTCTTTGAAGTAATCCGTATCTTTTAGGCTTTGCATATTGCAGACACCAGCAGAGGTAAAAGATGTCATCTGTGTGTATCCTAGTACTGTTATCTTCAGAAGGTCTTCCTGGTTTGAGTCTGTGCTTTGTTGGCTTCTAGCATCATGCCAAACCTCACATTTCAGATAACTCAAATCTCGTCTGGAGTAACATTTTCTGAGGCTGATGCACATTTAGTTGTAGATGTCAGCGGGTCACTATTCTGTTTTGAGGATATATTTTTGTAAGTGATAATCTTCTGCTTTGCCTCTGACACATACTTTCCTTCCAGTTGAATCTTTACCATGAGGCTAACAACTTGAAAGAGATTTCTGTGTAGGAGTACAACTACTCCTTTTTTCTTTTTCCCAGTAGGAGCTGAACTAAAGAAAATGTCACCTACTTGTTCCCATTTAAGTTTTATACACTCTGGGTCATTCAGATAAGTATAAACTGCTACTGAACATCTGAGTGTCTTTGAATCAGATTTTTTCTTTTCAGCTAGCGTGTTTCATCTTCAAATATTCTGTATCAATTCCATTTAACTAAATGATGGTTTGAAAGAAGACGTAGCTTTCTTGTTTTTAACGGATTTTTTACTCTTTTTATTCTACTTTGCAATATATAGAGAAATTACCCTGAAAAAAAAAGGAAAAGAAATTACTGAAGAACACCAGCTGGGAAATAGTCCTACCAGATACCAGGCTCAGCCCCTGCTAAGCAGAGGGACCTATGTGAAATGTGTCTGTTGACATTCAACACCTATTTGCCTTGAGATACTGCTTTGCCTGTACCCAAAGCCACTGCTGTTGTACTTTGTTTCTCTTGGCCTTGTCTCTGCTAATGAAGTGTATTTCCTGATCACTGCTATTTCCCGATTTTTTCTTGGCAAGGTGCCTGGTTACTGCGGAATCTGCATGAGCCAGGATGTCCTCTCCTTCTCTCCTGCTGGGCTGGTGAAGCAGATATAATTGCTGTGATCCCTTTAGCTTGGTAATGGGACACTCAGCGGCTGGCAGCCTATGCCTTTCCCTCTCTCCTCCTCACTCCAGGCCAAGCTGGAGATTGAAAGACCTTTGTCTTTTTGGAAAGTGTGTTGTGGCTTTGTGTTTTGGATATTGTTAAACGCAGATCAGCTGTGCGTTTATTCTGCCATCATGATTATTTCATATATAAGGCTTCTAACCAGCCTTTTTCTGCTTCTCCTGGAAGCGCGCAATTTGATCCATAGTGCCCTTGGAGCCAATACAACAGCTTCACTGACATCCCTGGGTATTGGACTGGATCTTAGGTGCAGTATTTCTAACACTGCAAAATCCAGCTATACATTGCTTCTCACAACAATCGCCTGTTTCTGCTGAGAGATGTGTTACAATACTATGAACCGTTCTATTTATTTTTACATTTTCTTGTGGACTTTGTTCAGTGAGAAACAGTATTATTCATCAAAGAAAGAAAAGTAGCATTAAAGAGAAAGGTGCATGTTGTTCACTAATGCAGGAAATGGAGAAAGAAAGAACCTTCATCTTTTGGGTTAAGCCCAAAAGCATAATGGAAGTACATTGGCCTGAAGTAACCGATTTCCTTACTTCTTGTTCACCCAGCAGAATGTAGTAGCATCATTTTCCACTTTAACCAGCATCTGAAACGAAATGCTCCTCTTTTTAGATGAAAAATATCAGTTAACAAGTGCACCCATTCACCTATATAAATTTCACAGAAATGAGACTCCACTATTCCATCCTAGGGATCAAAGAAATGTTGAACCAATGCTGAAGTCTAAAGGAAGCATCTGTCTTCTTAGTGGCTTTTCCAAACTCTGTCCTTCTGACAGGGAAACTTGCTAAACTAAGGATAAACATGGAAGACTACAAATCGTGACTAACTTCCACTGGCAGATTTTCATACTTCTTCCACAGAAGTTGACTAAAGATCTGACTTTGTTCCGTATCATCCATTAAAGAAAGAAGCAAGGTTAAGGGTTTTTAATATGGTATTTGTAATGTCCAAGTTCACATTGCAGTAGAAAAATCCGTACATTTTGTCAAACCTTGCCATTCTTGATGATACTGGCCTCATTTATCTTATTCTGAAGCTTTTCACTTAGCCCAAGTCCTATAACTACAGAGGTGATCCCAAATCTTGTGTTTTAAAGTAAAACGTTTTCTTTCTTCCTGCTTTTCTTCAACTCTCCCTCCATCTTCAGAACAAGGATGTGAGGAGATTTACAGTCTCCATTCTATTCACTGTGCCAGTAGCTAGAAGGCATTCACCTGAAACAGATAATTTTGGGTTCCCATAGGACAGCTACTGATAACCCAAGCTTGCTTTGTAAAAAAGATGAGTGTAAACTCCATGATCTTGCAATTTTATGTCATTCAAATGGTTATTTCTTAACTTTCCCTTCCACCCCCACTACTCCACAGGCAACTGTTCTTACCACAAAGATAAATTACCAGGTTGACCTAGAAACTGAAAGCAATCGCTTTCACGGCTCAAGTCCCCAAGGGGGGTTAACTTGGCCTTCTTTTAAGGAGACAGTAGAAGGGACCAGATCCTTAGCTGTTATAAATGATCACATTCCGCTGAAGTCAAAGGAGCTCTATTTATTTACAACCACTCAGAAACTGATCTCATATTTCTATTATGGTCATGTTTATTCACATTGTAAGGGTGTCAGCATTTTGGCCACAGAGCAGTACTCCACTGAGCATGCTGTACACTTGAGACCTTAGACACAGATAAAGCTTTGTAAGTTCTGATGTTGTCCTTTTACAGTAAGAATTAGAAACCTTTGAACTAATGCATTTCTTTCCCTTCTCATATCAGGCGAAACCCACTCCACTTCCACCTCATCGCAGATGCAATTGCCAAGCAGATTCTGGCAACTCTGTTCCAGACGTGGATGGTCCCTGCTGTGCGTATAGACTTCTATGATGCAGATGAGCTTAAGGTAAAGAAAGACAAACACAAATGTTACTTGTACACTTTTGGTTCCATGTCATCCTCTTTTTATTCATCTTTCTGGATTGGTGACTTGTGGGAGAACTGTTAGCTAAAATATTCTCCCCAGCTAAAACTAATTCTAACCCATATGATTGTAACCTCAGTTACATTCAACAAGAAGATACTAAATGGCTGAAATCAATGCAGTTTCTCTGCTAATGGAATGTGTGGTTTAGCAATTTAGTATTTTACCTGCTATCAGGAGGATTCTGATGCCCAAATTGAATTGCATCTGATCACATTATGTTTTGCTAAGGTTACTTCTTTCTAGTAGCAATGGTGGAATCTTAAGTATCTTGTTCAATAAGCCTATGTCTGTGACTGGAAACACTCATTTTGCCTGCATTCCTTAAGCATGGGTGTGTAAGACCCTAAGTATACATACTCTGGTGGGATATCAATATTACATTTTGAAATAGCTACTCTTTTTATCTGGATGCCCTTTCAAAAGAAATGAATATGAAGAAAGGAGAGTTCCAAGGGGAAAAAAAGTCACTTACTCAAAGCATAAAGTAATTATCTTTTCATAGTTAGAAAGTTCAAATTAGATCACAGAGGCACAGCATTCAGTTTGAGCTGCACATTTTTTAGCTGTGGAGGTAGAATGAAGTATTCAGATTTTAGCATTTGGAGTTGGTGGCGATAATGTGTATAACTTGCCAGACTGTTCTGAGAAGCACCCTGAAACAAGGGAAAAACAAAACTCAGCAAACTGCTGTGCTAATAAAGGGGTAAATTGAAAGCACACCATGTTGTAGTCTTGAGAACAAAAAGTTGTAGAAATAGATGGAAAGGGAAAAATTATCCTTGAGAAAAATATTTTGTTTCTAGCTGGTTTTGTTGTTTTATTGGTCCTTTTACATGAAGCCATAAGCTGATATTAACCTAATTAGCTAGATATCTCCCTTCTGTTCTCTATAGCTTCATAGCAAGGAGGAGGTTTGTTCTCGTAAATCTTACGTCTCTATATTACATGTACTTTTCTGCAAATTGTAGGGTTTTACAGTGCTTAATTAGCCTCTCAGCTGGGGAAAACAGACCTCTTAGTGTTTTCCTTCTGGTCATTTGGGTATGGTCCAATCTAGTTAAGTAAATAATAACCAAGAGAGCTTACTTCAGTGATCCCCAACTTGCTGATTTATAGGCAAAACACTGTGCAGATATGAGGTTACAGAGCAAAGTCTTATTTTGTCCCTCTCTCTTCACTCAGCTTCAGTTTTTATGTGGTTGATGACCTAATGCAACACTTGACTGTCTTGCTTGTAACTCATAAGCTTTAGATTGGTGACCACTTTCTTACTGGATGCAGGTATTGACACATAAATACATCTTTCCAGGTCTACCACTCTTGCTCAGAGCTCATCATACTGCATACCAAGCAATTTCCCTGGTTTCAGTAGCAAAATAAACCCAGTATAAAGTAGTATTAAGCATAGGTGAATGTGACAGACACTGCCAAAGGACAGCAAAGAGTTGTAAACATAAATGGAATTTTAAAAAGCCAGGTACGCTGCTGGCTCATATCCAGATCATTCTGCAAGTTTTGGCAAAGAAGACAGAGGAGCTGTTTACAGACAGCTGTAGGAGCTCATCTCATTTGTTTCCTACATAGCCTCTAGAGAGGATTTAATGATTGTTTTGGGTTCATGTATTTCACGTGTGCTCTTGGGAGCTATATTATGGCATCCAGTGTTAGGAAAACATAGAGCTGATGCTGGAATGTTTGCTAGAAAGTCTACCTTTCTCTAAAGTGATCTATGAATCCAGTGTTACTGTATATACTATGTTTCAGTTTTAATGACACTCCATAGTTCTTTTTTAAACCTGTAATCAATACCAATTGCTGACATTTAAAAGGGTTTAGACTGAACAATAGCTTGAGAATTTTCTGCTTAGGTTTCATTCACCAATGTTTCATTGTTTTGGAACACATTTTAGCTGCTACAGAAAACATTTCATTTCATGTTTGTTTTTTTCCCTTTGGATATGTATGGGCTTCCAGCCTCTTCTAATGCCGCAGGAACTGGCATGTTAGCTTAAGCCCTTAAGTCCTGGGAAAAGTCCTGCTCCTGTTCCTGCTCAAACAGTGGAAGGGAGCCCATAGTGTTAGATCCTCCATAAACAGTATGGATGCTATTTGTTTTCAAGTAGCTATTTAGAATTCAGGCAACAGTTTCCACTAGAGTATTAATTTTTCAAAAGGCAGAATTTGGAAACCAAAATATTTGGCAGTGTTTCTTAACGTATCCTGCAGTTCTGAAAATACTTGCTGTTTAGCTTCAAGTTAGATCAACCAGCACCCTGAAGGAAGGTGTAGAAAAGAAGGCTCTGCAGTAGGTGATGTTTTCTTTCAGGCTTTAGGGCAGAACTGGGCACTTCATTGCAAGAAAGTGAAGACATGGTACCACTGATTATCCCAGAGTTTCCAGGGCCAGCAAACCAACATATCTACTTTGTCTATGGCTGTGAATTAAGCGTGTCAGATGTTCCTTTTAAAATTTAGAGAAAACTTCTTTTCTTTTGCAAGGTGACACAGCTGTTCATGTTCACCCTGCACCACAAAGAGCCTACGTTCATTTTCTCCCTCAAGGCAGGTGATGCCAGACTAACACCAGCTTGCTGGGAAGAGGGACGGAGCACGTGAAAGGATGGCCAGGGAGAGATCTGTCTTTGCTTGAGGCACGTAGTAGTAGATGGGATGGATGAGGAAGAGACTTGGCTGTGGAGTTAAGCCAAGGTAACAGCAATTCCAGGAAAAGGGTCAGAAACAGTTGTAATGGAAGCTTGCTGAATAAATTTCTTTTAAACAGCTAGTTTGATGTTTTTAGCAGCCAGTTTTACTAAGATGCTTGTAACCTCCCAAAACATACCTTGGGCCGTCTCCTCATTGCCTTGCCAGATCTGCGCTTCTCTCAACTTAGAAGCTGTTCAGATTGTGAACTCTCTCCCATTAACTAAACCTGCTACATATAGTTAGTAATCAGCAGTAAGCATCCTTGAAGTGTGAGCAGCTGATAATGGTGCCAGTAATTGAGCCATTCCATGGCTGCAGACTTAATTCTTGTTCTACTCAGTATGGCCCATACATAACTCTTCCAAATTTATGTGGTCACATATGGCTGTGACAACAAACTGGAAAGTTACTTGGCAATGTAGATTCACTTCATGTGATAACATTAGTCATGTTATTCAGCTTTGGTTGTAATGCAGTAGATGTTGCTATTACAGCAATACTTCCCACAAAATAACTGGAAACTGAAAATTGTCTTGTCTGAACATTGAATAAAAGAAAAAAAAAACATACCTATGAAATGTTGATCTAAAAGAACCATTAGAGATATGGCTTGCAAATATAAGGCTGCAGGATACTGTGGGTTTTTTCAGTTCAATCTTACGTGAAGGAACTCCAGAGCTAACTATTGAAGATGTGCAACATGAGCACTTAGCTTCTACGCTCTATTATTCAAGGTGGAATCTAATGTCAGTTCACTGATGAGGAAATACAGGCATTAAGCCCATTGTGATCTGCATTGGCCCAGAGCAGAAGGAGCAGCTGATAAAGCAAAACTGTATGTGTGATGTGTGGAATATAGATGAGGGGAGTTTGTTTTCCCAGATGTTGCCTGACAGACTGCTGACAACATCAGGTGAACTGAGGGAAGCAGAAGGTAGAATGAACAGTTGCCTGCTCTGCTGTGTGTGAATCTTGATGGCCCAGATAAACGTAGTCACTTCAACAGTGGTAAAGCAGAAAAGCCATGTCCTTTAAATAGTTCAGCCCACAAACATGCTGCAATTGATCTGTGAACTTGACGGTAGAGATGATGAATATGTTTTTGGAATAGATGAGCATTTGTCCTTGAAGTGAAATGTGAAAATCTCCATACTTTGCTGCATATATTGACAATATTCCAGCTTTTACTGATCCCAGAAAAAATAGATAACAAATCTCACTACCAGTGCTGCCTTAGGTGATTTCATATCAGAAATGCTGGTATAGTCTGCACACTCAGTCAGAATCAGTGGTGGGATCCAGAGAGCAAAACCAAGCTGGGGTAATGCGTGGCATAAATGTCACCTAACTTTAAGCATTTACTTAAGCATGAGATGAGTCACTCCTTAGCCACTTCCATCTGAACTGTGAAGGCAGTTCACTAGGTCAGACATTGACATCATTTGGTCAGATAGATGGTCAAGGGCTATGAGATTTAAGCAGAAAAAGTTTAATTCTTTAATTATAATTGTAGTGTAGCTGGATTTCAGGGCTGTGCCTGTGTGCACTCCCAGTGCACTTAAGTTACTAATTCCCAGAGTAGTCCAGGAACTCTCAGGCTAGTAGTCTGCATAGATGAGATAAAGGGCTGGTTTAAGACTGCAGACCAAGTTGAAATTAGGTGATTGACTGAACTGCTGGCTATCTGCACAAGAAGTATTTGACAGATTGCTACAGGAGCTGTCCCAGTGGGAATTTCAGACAGTTCTTGAGATTTCCCAGGCAGTCCCTGCTGTGCCTAGAATAATTTGTATGCTTAAATGTGTTGATTAACATCATAGGTGGAGAATCTGGTTGTCCCAGAGATTCCCAGACAGTTCCTGCTGGAAAGTTAATCAATCGTACAATGGTAAGACAGTCGATAGAAACAGTTCCTACATGTGTAGAAATTATTATGTAGGACAGTCTTTTGTACATACTTAAGATAGTTAGGAAATGTTTTGCATCTAGGTTATGGTAATCTATAGTGGTGGATTATGCATGTCTTGCAGTGGTCAGGACCACAGGCCAGCTGGACTATAAGAATTGGATAGAACCATGTTTATGGAGCCTCATCCAATCTGAGATGCCCCTGCAAGTATTCTTATTATGGAGACTCCCTTCACCACACAGACAGCAACCAAGTGTCCTGTTAGACAAATTGTATTGTCTATGCAAGAGTTACTCTAAGCCAA